ACACAATAACTTTTTGGGCTTTCATTAACCTTTTTTAATATGACTCTTCCATACTCCATACTGCTTGTAGCCAAACACATAAATAACGTATATCAATTCTTCTCTAAACAATTTTATACTCACCCAACATTGCGTAAATTCCTCATTTTTCTCAAGCGATGGATCTTAATTCATTTGTCGTTTATTTAGCATACATCATATATCCATTCATAGGCCTCTAATAGTAAATTTTCAAGCCCCATACAACAATTTGTATAAAGAATGTGCCTACTTTTATCAACCTCACAAAAATTGTTTATTTTTAAATTTACTCTAATTTTCCGCATTAAACATATCTCTGCTTGTGTTTTATATGAAAAATTACAACACGCATTTCATGAATTTTGTTGAAATTATATAAAAACCCCACTCTCTAAAAAAAAAATACACAAATTTTTCTCAAGAAGGGAAGAGAAGAGAGTATGTACAATTACAACAAATCTCATCAGAGTTCTATAATAAGCTTTACTCTTTATTTTTAAAAAAGGTTTTGCATAAATTTTAAAAATAGAAAGAAATTTTATATAAATTTAGCAAAATTCAAGAGAAGCCAATCTAACTTACTTTTTTAAAACAACATAGGTGACTTATATATCACCAAAACTTGCTCAAACTTATAAATTTCCATCAATCACTATTAAAATTTTTATTTATCATCTTGTATAAATAACATCCATTCCAACCGTTACAAATTTTAAATCAAAATGAAATGATGATGATGGGTAATAATAAGCAATCAAACTTTTTTTTGAAAAAAAAAAATAAAAAGAGGGACCAGTTGGATTGGGTCTCAATATTTATATGTATAATAAAATTTATACTACGCATTATTGGCCTGGACTATTCAAAAATTAAATCATGGATAGCACCATTAATTAATTATTCAAACCATATGCAATAATGTATAGGAAAATAAATCTAGTTAACTATGATTTAGAGACGCTATTTCATTACAATTTGGACACTTGTGCTGATAATGCACTATCTTGTAGGAAGGACAGTATAAGATGGTGGATGGGGACCTCTCTTTGATAGGGCATCTATGGCTAATTTACATATTACAGAAATCCAATTTTTTCAAATATTATGAATAATTCATAAAGTTCATAATCCAAAAGCAGAGACTAAAGAGATTTTTCTTTCATTTTTAGATGATTTGTCTTTTTGCATGGTGTCATGAAAATCATGAGAGGATGAAATTGGTTTGGAGCTTATCCATGGATGATTCAATTCATGGCATTAAGAAAAATTAATGAGTAGTTTTCTTTAATGAAGATTGATGTGTACTTAATTAACATAGAAATGATCCATTTTTTCAATTTAATTAAAAAAGAACTTTACTTTGTGAATATTTTCAAAATATAAAAGTTTTAAAAATATATTATTTTCAATACATTAAAGTTTAGTAAAACAAATCAATATTTTCTTTAAGGTAATTTTTTTCATTCCATATGTTTATCTATATTTTTATAATAAAAAAAGTAAAATGCATCGATCACTTTTATACTTTATCTTAACTATAGACATTCTCTTTATTTCAAAACCTACACAAATATCTCTCAAAAATAAAATTTACAGGCACATCTTCCCTTTATTTTTAATATTTTATTATTGTCCAATCAACCATTAATCCACCGATTTCTCAATAAATTTAACTTTTGTGTGTTGAAAACATCTTCCTTAAGATAAATATTTATCCATAACAGTTTCATTTTTTTTTTTTTCAATTTTTCAACTTTCAATTTGACATATTTTTAATTTAATTATAAATTCTATAAGTTTTTAATTTAATTTTTTTATTAAAATTTTTCTATTCAAATAATGGTTAAAATATTTAATACAATATTAAGTTGATAAAAAATTTAAATATTTGAAAAATATTTTAATAATATAGTGAAAATTGGACTAAAGTATATTTTGAAAATAAAAGAACTGTTTCAATAATTTTAGTGGAACGGAAAGGAAGTAAATATGTGTTATATCATTTAAAAAATTATGCACTTTTACGTGACATCTCAAGAAAAAAAAGTAATAATTTATCTAAATTGAATGAAACAAAAAAAAAGGATTATAAGTTATAAGAAAAATTATCAAAAGGTGAAACGGAGGAGACTTTTTATTTTAAGGAATAAAAATCACCAAAAGTTTGATGATTACGACGATGATGATTTGAATTTGTTAAGCTTTCATTATATAGCCAATATCATGATTTCAAGTATTATTGGTGTGAAAAAAAAAAAACAGAGAGAAATTCAGAATAATGATGAGAGGTGGAAAGTTCATCTGCGAAATCATTGCCCGGCACATGTGAATCTCATTGGAGATTCCTTTCATTCGTTTCTTTTTTTCTTTTAACAAAATAATAAATTTACTCATAAACTATAAATTTAAAAATATCTAAAAATTTATATTTATTTTTTTATGTAATATTTTTTTTAAATGATATAATTTGACTTCTATTATTATCAAATGTTAATTTTTCAATTGAATAGAAAATAATAAAAAATAATATCAAAAATTATAAAAAAAATTTAATAAAATTTTCTTGATCATTTCTTTATAATTTTTTGAATTTTTATTTGTAATTTTTGAATCCTTAACTATTTGATGTTATTTTTTACTTAACTAATAATTAAAATTAATTTTTATTAATAATAATAATAATTAAATTGTATAAAAAATGAGTTTAAATTTTTATATACTTTTGCACCTATAGTTTGGGCCCTTCTTTTATCCTTCTTTCTCTCAATGCAACGAATTGACTAGACCCAACACAACTCAATTATCTTATTGGGAAATAAAAGAGAACCCTATCCTTATTATTGTTGTTACTATACTCCCTTCATTTAAAAATATAAAGTATTTTTAGTTAAATTTCATTCCTTAATAAATCAATTATCTACTTTTCAATTAACTCTATCTTTTCATATTTATCCCTATTAAATATCCTACAATAAATATAAAGTCATTATCAATAGGGGCATTTAAAAAAAAGGCAATGATTACATTTTAAAATATTAAAAATACCTTGTATTTTTAAACATCTAACTTTTTAAAAAATATTTTATATTTTATAACAGTATATTATTACCATTTTTAACCATAATTATTACTTTTTTGTTTGATATCGTGAGTTCACAAGAACAGGACATTTTCTGTAACATTAACATCAAAATCAACATTTTTTAAGAAAAATATTCCGTAAAATAAAATTATTGATATGTTTTTTTTACAAAATTGTTTAAAGAATGATGATTTCAAATAAAATTTAAAAGTAGATCTATGTTAAATAATATTATAAATTGTCACCAAAAAATAATTTGATTAATTTTGCCTAAAAATATATATTATTATCTGTCGACATTATATTTTGAATTGATTTATATTTATATATGCTATTTTTTATATTTTATTTTATTTTCATAAAAAATACTGGACTTGAAAAATGTGTCAAACTAAAACAAATTTAAACCTAAACTAATTTATATTTCAATTTTTTTAAAATGATCATTTATATTTAAAATATTATCAAATAGTTATAGTAAAAGTATGATCAACATCATATAAAAATGATAATTTATATTGCAAGTGATACAGAAATAGTAAGAGAAATTATGAGGTAAATAAATAATTGAATAACCTTCCTATGCAAAAATGTGGGAAAATATATAGTTGAATAAACGTGCGCCTTGTGACGGTGATAAGAGTTCGATTCAAAGCTCTTTACATTTTTTTTTTCTATTACAATCATATTTTTGGTCAATTAATAATTATTAGACACATTGTTGAGTTTACGTAGACATGTGCCATCATACAAGAAACACGTGGGGCAGAAGACGATAATGTTTTGAAATTATGATAATGAACAATAACGATTTTTTTTTACTAGCTGCAATTAATTTTACTCTAATAAATCTGTTTGGTCGTGGTTATAGAAAAAAATTACTAATTAATTTAGCTTAGTGTTCATCTTCAATACCTTTTGGGCCCATGATATGCAATGTATTAATGTGGACTTCTTTATTTGCCACTACCATGTTGGGCTTCATTGTGATTTCACCTCGCTGGCCAGTCATCCAATGGCTTCCTTGAACTCTAGTTTCTGCAAATGGGCCATATCTAAGCGCTTTTTAGTTTTTAATATTAAATATGATTTCTTTATCCAAAAAACAAATTAAAGATGATTCTACCTAAAAAATGTTAAAGATGAATGCTCATTATATAAAGAAATATTAATGCTTTATTTCATAGGGAAGGATTACACTATATCATTGTTTATTATAAATTATATTATAATTGCATGTTAAGTCTCACTCATTACAAGGAATTTGTGAAATATATAAGTTGTAGATTCATAGTAGCCTCGTATGAGGCACTCCTTTAATTTTATTTATAGAATACTTTATTATTTTTTATATTTATTTTTATCTTTTTGTCCTTATTAAATGTTAAAAAGAACTATTAAAAATAATTTTTTCTTATCAAAAATTAACGGTGAAAACTTATTAAATTTTAAGACAAAATTAGAATTAATAAGGTTTAAGGTTTTTCCTCATTCTCATGAAATATATGGGAAATAGCTTGTAAATAGGAATAAAGGAAGTATGCTAAAAAAAAATAACATATGACTACCATAACTTACATTTCCTATGATATTGAATTAGGAAATATTGAAATAAGGATTAGATTTTTTATTTATGCATGCTATATGATAGTTCTGTTAACAAGTATTAATGTTGTTTAATAAACCAATCAGTAAGTCAAGTGGATGAAAGTTGAAAAAGTTTAATGATGTGGCCAGATGAAGCGAAAATAACTTGAGTAATCAATGCTAATATACTCCATGACATTTAAGTTGATTAATTAATAAAGCATATGCCAATTGATATAATAACCATCATAATAGCACAATCAATTCAGTCCATTTATTTGAGTACTTGATATAAGCACAAAATTAAAAGTTCATAAATAAAAGTTTATCTTCTTCCACTTATTACACACCGTCATTCCAAAGTTGTGTGACTTGAGATAAAAGAGGATAAAAAGAGAAATTAAATTACAATAGGAGATAGTATCATGTTTTATTTAAAAACCTTTTCAGGTAGGGACCAATCCCAACGTGAAAATTTAGGTACCAAATTAACTACGCATTGGAGTGGGTTGCATAGGCAAGGATGATGCCCGGCCTAACCCATGCGGCCCCTATATTATATATCTTATGCATCAAAATGTGTGGTTATATGTAGGAAGAGGAATGCCTTGTAAGAAATGAGTGATCAAAGAAAGGGCCCTTGCTGGCTGGTAGCTTGGGACCTGATGCCCTGCTCCTCTCACTGTTGCAAATGTGAAGTTTTTCTTGTAAATTTGTGTGTATCCTCCCACCTGTTGAACATTAAATCACATGATTCACTTGTTATTTTTAGTTGTGAGTACTTTGGATTAATCCTTTGTTTGGATGAGGAGAACAATAGGAAGGAGAAAATATTAAGGGGGAAATTTCTCCAAAATAGTTTTAGAAAAATTTGTGAAGAAAAAACTTGTCAAACGTATCATTACTTGAAAATTATTTTTCTTCATAAACTAACGAATTTTAATTGCAAATCCGTATTTTAAAAGTTATAAATAAGTGTATGAGAGTAGCAAATTAATCACCAGAAATGATGATATATTTAACAAGTGTTTTCTTTACAAATTAATGAATTTCACTTGCAAATATTTGTTTTGATTGTTGCAAATCATGAAAATAAAAGTAACAAATTTATAAACCAATCCATTAAAGTTTTTTTTTTGTCTTTATTTTAAATTTTCAGATATTTTAATCTTTATTTAAGTTAAATTTAATATTTTGGTCCTTTAATATTATTGTTCCATTTCAACTCAAATTTTGTGTAATAGTGTGAATGTGAAGAGATTACCTCTCTATCAACAAACCAAGGGTGCCAAGAAGTCATAGCAGTGAGATTCAACAACTCAATGGAATACTTGGTTGAAGTTATCGGAACTATTCCATCTACGTCCCCACTGCAATATTTTCCAAATCTTTGCTCAAAATTTCAAATACCCATAATTTCTTCTTTTGGTTGAGATGCATGAAAATATACACAATTTACAAATACTAATATTTATCAATATACCAATAATTAATATCAAATTTAAAATTTACAACAGACATTCAATACCTATTCATTTAGTTATTATAGTTTTGATTAAAGTGTAACACAATTTTTGCATTTTGACTCATCTTTGTAACTTATTCCTTGTAGTTTTAATTTAATTGCAATTCAATTTCTGAATCTTGACTTGATATAACTCAGTTTCTATAATTTTAATTATTTAAAGTATTTGTTCTTATATTTTAGAAAACAAAATTATAAGTTATTTTAAAATTTAATGACTGATGTTTTAAATTATCAAAATTACAAACATTGAGTTGCATTTTAGTCAAAACTATAAAGACTGAGTCATGACCATGAGTCCCAAATAATGATTGATTTTTGCAATATAAAATGTATAATAAATCATATAATATTCATAAATGATAGATATCAATATATAACGCGATATATTAGATCTAAATTCTATGCAATATATGAGACCTATATATTAAAAAAGAGGAATATATAGTGTGAATACCTAAAGATCCAAAGTCGAACGCCATGATTGAGTAAGTGATGTAAGAGGGGAAGCACTGTGTCAGGGCTATCAAGCCATTTGGTGATAAGACCAGAACATGGTGACCAGTCATGTGTAAGTTTTGTGACATTGGCATGTAGTGCCTCTTGTACCTCAGCCATGTTCAAATATGCTGTCACATACACTTCATTACATGGGTCTATCATTTCCTGCGCCAACATTCCCAAACTCTACTCTATTCATCTAAACTAATTAATAATACTGATCTAAACTCTGTAGAAAGTAGAACATGTACTTACACTTTGTGGCTTAGGAAGGGAAGTGAGGTTGTAATTGTGGCATAGAGGAGCATAGATGTTGTATAAATCAATGTCTACAATGTTGGTTCCGATTTCTTCCAATGTTTCTTGGCACTCATTGCTAAGATTTGTGGCAACATTTGAGAAATCACACAATTGAACATCTAAGGCAGCTTTGTCTGATATTATGGCATGACTCGCAAGAAAGTCCCATAATCCTCTACTGTCTGTCTCATCATTTAGCACTGCATTTCCTATCTACACAATCCATTCATGCCCCACATATATATCATGTTTCTAACTTTAGTGTATATAGCTCATGATCATTATGTTAGGAATGGGGAGTAATGTAATGGTTTGAAAAGGAGGAGAAATAATGAAATGACATCATATTTTAATTCAAAATCTCAAAACTCGAATCCATGAATTCTTTCATTTTATTGTATATTAGTTATTAAATCTAATTTTATTTGATGTGAAGCTTTTTGCATCAACTCAAGTCCACTAATACTTTGAACAACTTAACACATAATACATGTACACCAGCCATGATGAAAGTAACAAGTTCAATTTTTGGAATGCTGTGCATTAATATACCAGTGATGAAGAAGAAAGAAGAACATACTAAGATGCCTTTGAGGTTGATGAAGAAGGAGGAATTAGGGAGGTTGTTGTGGTGGAGAATGGTGTCAGCAAGCTGAGGAACATAATGGCCTGCATAGCTCTCTCCAGCAATGTAAAACTTAGAGGAATTGTACTCAGGAAATCTCTCCAACCAATTCCTTAGGAATATGTAGTTTTCTGAAGCAGTTTTTTTGTCCCCGTTATTATCATAATCTGATGTCCTATTTGAATATGAAAATCCCACTCCTGCTGGTGATTCCAAAAATAGAACATTTGCAGCTTCAAAAAGAACCCAGCCAATGAATGTCAGTCAATATATAACAGTTGTAGAATCACAATATGTTTCAAGTTATATATGTTGGCTTAAATACCTTATTATATGAGTTGGGTTGAACAAAAATTCCAAACAAAAACAATTTCTTTAACTCATATCATTTCAATTATGGACCAAATGGACCAACCTTTATAGGTTAGGATTAACTTATTTAACCCATATAAAAAGAATATGTGAGGGAAGAAGGAAAATTTAAAGTTTCTAGCATCACTCACAAAAATAATAATAATAAAAGAAATAGAATAAAATAAAAATAAAAAATCAAAGCAAATCTCTCAGTTGTGTCCAACCTTCTCTTATTCTCTTGTTCAATTATTTGTGCCTTTTCTATCTTTGAATCAACCTAAATTCTCATTTTTCACTTTTGACTTGTGAATTTTATAAATTGTATGAAATATTAATATTTATTATTTTGATGTAAGTTTAAAAAAAAAAGTAAAGAAAGTTAAATGGATTGGTGGATTTGTTCATTTAACCTATTAATCCACACAATTTGGATTGAGTTGATATTTTTTTAATTCATATAAAAATAGAGTAAACCCAACCTAACCTATTTTATCCTCAACCCATATATTATAGGTTGGCCATGTTCCCACTTCTATATACATATACAATCATTGATATCAACATAAAAAGATAATTTGGTATAATATTATTGATTGACAATGTGGCGATGAGTTACCAAGGCTCCAAGAGTATTTGTTTGTGTAAAGCGTTTTGCCGTCACTGTTCACTCGAAAGGGCCCAATCTCCTGCATTGCTCCATACCCTAGAGAGGAACATCCAGGGCCTGTAATTAAACAAAAAAAAAAATGCACTAATCAGATGTGTGGCTTCTAATTATTCAATGAATATTGCATGATCGTCGAAGGTCCCAAAGTGACATTTTATTCCACAGTCAACACGTTTACGCGTGTGAAAGGTCAAAACCGTTTATAATGGCAACAAGACACACATCAAACAAAAAAGACAGTTGGCTAAAGCACAAGCAATAGAAGAAAATATGCCCCCCTGCACCGAAATTCAACAAGCTTATGGAGACAGGTTCTTAATCTCAGTTTGTTTCAAGAAAAAATGATAATAAATCTTTTTAAATTATATAAATAATAATTTAATCTATCAAAATATCATAATTTTAATAAAATTTTTAAAATCTCTATATCAATAAATTTTAAAGTAAAAATATTATTTTATTTTTATTAAAAATAACAAGTCTCGATTATAATTTTTATTCAAGGAATCATAATTTTTATTTTATAAATCATAAGAGTTGAAAAGGAAATCATAACTTGTCAAATGTAATTTTTATTATTAAAAAAATAAGCTTCAATCACAACTTTTACTTAAGGAATAACAACTTTTATTCTGTAAATTGTAAGAGTTGACCAAAAAAATCATAACCTGTCAAGTGTAATTTTTATTATTGAAAAATAAATTTTTAAAATAATAAACACTATTCACAACTTCTATTTAAAAAATCACAACTTTTATTTAAAAAATCACAATAATTAAATATTAAATTATAACTTATCAGGTAAAATAATATTTTTAATTTAAAATTTTTTGATAAAAAAATCTCTAAAAATTTTAATAAAATTATGATATTTTGAGATATCAAATTTTTATTTACATGATTCAATTTAAAAGAATTTATTATTATTTTCAATTTTTTTAATATTAAGGATTATTTTAGTCTCCATCACGCCGTGCGGGACTTCATAAGCATGCATGTTGAATAACACCTAAGTAAGCACCAATCCTAGCTAGACGCGTTGTTCCCACTTCTCTATGGGAAAGTACATGCCAACAAATGTCATTGTACAAAAAAATACTTTAATCATAAAAAGAATGAATATTTAAATTAAAAGAAAAGCAGTCCCCTGCTTTGGTCTTCCTTTTTATGAGAACTTGTTAAATAATTCTTAAAATTAAGGACATTAGTTAAAATTAGTCAATGTCACGAAAGTATCAACTTTTCAAAAGTATATCCTTAATCGAATTAAAGTCATTATTTAAGCTAAGAGTAAAAGAGATAATTTTTGAAAATAAGTCATAAATGCTTTCTCAAATTTTATAAAAGATCTGATATTAAGAATCGATACATTTATTTCATAAATAAGATCAAGAGGAGTATAATGTTTTTTTTTAAAAAAAAAAGCAACGTGGATCAACACTTTTTTGTCTACACAGACGCTTATGTTTTTATTTCTCGAAAGTGATTATTATTTTTTTAAAAAAAATGACCAAGTCAACCAATTAAGACTGATTTTCGTTTGTTCGAAGTTGGGTTGCCCCAGTTCTTAAGCAAGTGGTTTATTCCTCCCTTGGTTTTTCCATCATGCCATATTGGATATGTCATGCTCCTTCTCTTTTTTATTATTAAAAAAAAACTACGCTCTATTTTTTTTATAAGTATAACTACAAATTTCAAAAAATATTTATTATATTTTTCTAAAATTATCCCCTCATAAATGGATAGTATCATTGGATTAGAGAAAAAATAAACATCAATTATAAAGATATTTTAGCTCAACCTTTCCAATTTCAAAAATAATTATAAAAATTAATCAACTTTTTTAAACAGTTTGAATTTATTAAAATTTACTCATATTTAAAAAATGGAAGGAGCATAAGATTAATTCTTGGTCCAACTAGCGAGGCGAATGCTATTAACATTCCTATAGAGTTCAAGTAATTAAAAAGATTGATAATGATAAGTAATCCGTTAGCGGATTTATCTCAATATTAATTTATCCTGAGTTGGCATGGTAAAAGAAAGTATAAATATATAAGAAATATATGGATATAGCATAATACCTCCATTGAGCCAAAGAAGAAGAGGCAGTTTGTGCCTATCAGATTGTTGAGCTTCCACAAAATAATAATATAAAGCTCGTCCTGCAACCTTATCTACAGTGACATAACCTCCATACTGAGAGACATTCACATCTTCAGGTTGTCCTGGGAGTCTCTCGATTCTATCTTTCTCTTTCAATCCTTCTTGAGGATAAAAGTAACGAGCCTTTTCATCCTCACCAAATATAGCCTTATCTACCTCGAAGTTTGTCCTGTTGCTATTGTCAGTGGAAACTCCTCTGAACTTGGCCTTGCTTAGAACATTGTTGAGAGCTTGTTCTTGCTTTCTGCTTCCATGGATTTCACCCACCAAGAGTAGTGTTGAGAGAAGGAAGAGGACCAACCAACTAGTTTCTCTTCCCATTGCATGGTTGTTTCTGGGAAAATATCAGTAATTAAAACCATGATAGAGAAGGGTGATGAGAAAGAATATAGAGGTAGGAAAGTGGAGGATAAGTATAGGATAGCTAGCTACCTAGCTTTGAGGGAATTTATAGAACATTGGTCGGTACTAAACGTTGTCACTCCATCTAACGGCATTCAAACATCTTCAATTAGATTCAATTTATTAATAAAAAAATTAGACCTCCTTTTTTTTTCAAATATAAGGAATAGGGTTTCGCTTGCAGATAATATCTCTCTTGATATATTAAATGGGGAGACTTTTTCAACTACTTATTTTAATAGCAAGAACCCCTCCCACTCACATCAATTTTAATTAGTAAAAAATTGGACATGTCTTTGTTTATTGAAAAAATATCAACAATCAAAACTATAACAGAGAAGGGTGATGAAAGAACAGAGATGCAGGAAAGTGAAGGAAGATATAACTTTTAACACATTGGTTTGCAGTATGACTTATATTGTGAAGGATTAACATCTTTTGTTTAGTCTAATATTTGTTACTAAACAAAATTGTTTTTAAAACATAAGAAAAAGATTTAGCTGACTGTAGAGAATATTTCTCTCAAAATACTGAGAGCAATGAATAAACATTTGCTAATCATTTACTTAAATAATGAGAGCCTTTAGTGTACTCATGCCAAATTTAGTTGCTAAAAAAATTGAACTCTTTATTTATGTAATCCCTCCACTTAAAAAAAAAAACCTTTTTCTTGATTTAAATTAAATGTTATTTTCATATTTTAACAAGGTATTATATATATTAAATATTTTATTTAAACATATAGGAATTGAGGTCAGATTTTTTTTATATTAAAGAATAATAGGGACATTTTTAAGAAATTATCAGCAGGCCAAAAAAGATTGATTTTTATCAAAACTTAAAATTATTTTACGATCACTTTCTTTTTTTTTTTATGTGAAAACTGTTTTTGCAACACTTTTTATAAATGCGAGGATGAATTTTTGTTCAGAATTTTTATTGATCTTATCATACATTGACTTACTTAAAAGGTTTACTTGTTGAGGTATTCTAATTCTAAATTAGACTGAAATTTGGTTGGTCAGTATGTGGATTGAAGTGACCAATCAGAATTTATTTTTGTGACATCAACAATGGCTGTGAAATTGATATTAAATATTAATATGATGATTCCACCTAAAAATAAATTATTATTATGATGACTTTGAGAAATTTCGTGGATGTTACTATATGATAAGGATGTGTGTGGAATTGAGCCTTCTAAATTTAAGGCCATTCATGTTCCAATCTCTTAATTTATTATCAACCAACTCTCACGTTCATATACTCTTGGTTTTATTTATAATTTATTTCAACATATTTCATTAAAATTAAAGAAAATTTTAAAATTTATTAATTTTTTTAAAAATTTAATAAGTTATTAATTTTACTCTTATCAGACATACATATTTTAATAACATATTTTTTCTTAGTAACATTTACTAGAGAATAACAAAATTATAGTAAAAATATAATAATATGATTTATAAATAAAACTAAAAATATTTTCTCTACCTTATTAGTGGAGAGTATATTTAAACTTATATCAATTCTAGAGAACACGAGATTGAAACGGAGAAAGAATACAAATCCATTATATTATATGGGAAAGTTTTGGGTTGTTTAGCATGTCGAATCTTATATATTTATAAAATTTAACGGCTCATGCCTTTAAAAAGAAAATCAAACATACAATAAAAATAAAAAAATAAAAGATAAGTCCTATACATATTTATTTTTTTAAAACATAATTTTAAATTCATGCACTTTGTTCAAATTTTGTTATAGGATCTTGTACTTTTTTGTGTGTTATAAATCCATATATTTTTATTTTTTAATGTTCTAGATTCCTATAACATCACTCATGAAGGGATATAAAATATTAAAAAATAAAAATATAAGAATTAAGAACATAAAAAAGTGAAAGAATCTGCAATAAAATTCAAATAAAGTATAAGAGTTTGAAGTTATGTGTTTCCTAATTTTACGCATTCTCTTTCTCTCCGCCAAGTGTGTTATACACTTGGAGCTTTTTTGGGGGGGAAAAAAAGGAACTTGGAGCTTTGGCAAATGCATTAAACTCAAATTGGGCTTTTTTTTATATAAACAAAAGTAGTTAAAAAAGATGAACCCAAATACTGCCAAATCCAACCCATACTAAAAGTTCAATATCTAATTTCTCAATTACCATTTTTATTTGAACAAAAAATAAAAACCCAAATACTGCCAAATCCAACCCACACTCAATCATGGTTCGCCCCATCAGGATAGTTTATTTTAGGCTTTAACCCATCGTTAATGAAAGTGATCAAAATGGGAAAATTGCATTCAAGGACCTATTAAACAAAATTTTGCATAAACAAGAATTAATAATAAGTCATCATTTGAGAAAAATAAGTTTATATTCCCATTTTAATAATAATACATTTTATATTAGTCTTTTTTTGTAAATAATTTTTTTCATAAGTCATTGAATGTGATTTTCCCTATCAAAATTATGTTTATTCTACCAAAAACGTTTGGCATGGATGGTAAGTTATCCAGATCCTTTATAAGCACATGATCAAAGTTTGATTCCTGAATTGTGTGTATGAAAGATTATTTATTGGGAGAGATCAGCCCTTTAAATAAAATCTCAATACATCAAGGGATTAATTAATATCTCGTACTCGCATTGGAAAATACCACATAGAAAATTTTTAAAAAAATTGATAGATCTCTTTCGAATCTTTTCTTTGAACTTTAGGTTTGAGAGACCACAAGAGCTTGAACGAGTCTCGAAGCTCAAGATCCAGCACCCTTGCGGAGCATGAATTGCATTTTATCAATGAGGTCAACCTCTGATGGCGCCAAGGATCTCTTTGATTTTTAATGAACATAGGAGAAAACAGTATATAAGAAAAACAACACAAAAAACAAAAAGGAATGGTGGTGATGGAAACATCAAGCTTTTCCTTAACAGAAACTACATTTCGAGCTCTGTAGCAAAGGCATTCTGTTCAGACTCTTACAACATTGTGATCAACTCTAGATTATAAATATTGACATTAATTTTAAATTAATGAAGAAGGTTTACTTTAACAGCAGAATCTGAGTCTTGTGATAGTTGAAATCACATTGCTTGAACTTGAACCACCAACAGCTCAAACAAGTTATGAGAGGTGGGGAATTTAGAAATTAGGAGTGTGTTGAAGTTGTGGTATGAGGAAGAGGGATGCCTTTTAAGAAGTGATTGATCAAAGAAAGAGCTCTTGCTGGCTGGTAGCTTGGCACTTCATGTCCTGCTCCTCTCACTGTTGCAAATGTCAACTCTCCTTTAAATGTTTGCGTGTACCCTCCTACCTGTAAAGTCATATCATATTTCATTTTCTTTATAAATAAAAGTTTGGGTGAGTTGTGTTTGAAAAGTTGATATGATCAAAATATATTTTTAAATTTAAAGAGCATTTAAAGAAGTACTTTTAAATTATTTTCCCACAAAGTTCATATATTAAGAATGGGATTTGACCTCACAACCTTGTGAGTTATAGGTCAAATCATTATCAATGCTAAATGGACTAACTTTTATTAGTGACACTTCATTTTATTTATTCTCTCTGTTTTCATTTATCATAAGGCATGATTGGTGATGTATTTTTTTAAAAAAAAAACTAAGTATATACTATTGATCATTAATTATAACTACATCATTACAAAGGATTCCATTATTATTCTAAATAACTCTAAAATTGAAATTTCAAATTGCATGGTCCAATATATTTCAAGTGAAACTGCCCTATTTTGACAATTTTGAGAATAATCTTTAAAATTATTCTTGTTTAATATAACATACTTATTTTTATTTAAAATGAATTATTACCTCTCCATCGACGAACCAAGGATGCCACACAGTCTTAGGAGGGAGATTTAACTTGTCAATGGAATACTTTGTTGAAGTAACCGGTACCATTCCATCAAAGTCACCACTGCAAATATATTTTCCACATATTTCATTATAAATCTGCTATAAATGCTTTAATTATGTAAAAGTCATGAACAAAGCGATTCAATATAATCTTCAGATATAGTGATCAATACCTAAAAATCCAAACCCGAAGGCTATGATTGAGGAACTCTTGTAAGAGAGGAAGCACAGTGGAAGGGCTATCACCCCACTTGTTGATAACATCACTGCAAAGTCCCCAATCATGAGTCAACTTTGTCACGTTAGCATGCATAGCTTCTTGCACGTCAACCCGGTTCAGGTATGCATACACGTAATAATCAATGCATGGATCTGTCACTATCTGCAAAACCATTAGCAAAAATATATATACTCAGATACAGTTCTTTTGGACCTAGTGTTTAATGCAAGAATGTGCTTACAGAAGGAGGCTTAGGTGGGGAAGTGAGATTAGAATCAAGGCATTGAGGAGCATAGATGTTGTAGATATTGATGGAGTTAACGTCTTGTTCTATTTCATCAGATGCAGCTCTACACGCATTGGTTTGTTCATCAGTGCTTGAGGAAGAAGCTGACTCTGAGGAATCGCAGAGATTGTTAACAACATGAGCTGCTTTGTCTGATATTATGGCATGGCTCGCCAGGAAATCCCATCTTCCTCTGCTGTCTGTCTCGTCATTTATCACTGCATTCCCTATCTACACCATCAAAACATCCACACACACACATTAACTGTTGAACTGAAAGCCACCCCAACATGATTCTTGACAAGAGATTATCTAAATCCAACCTACAGCTCATTAATTAGACAGAAAAGGAGAAAAGAGTAAGTATAAATGGCAGAGCCATCCCCCGCAAATCCACTTGAGGGTGGTTACAAGCACAAGTTCCTCGTATAAAAAATGCCGCCGCAAACACCAAAGTTCTGTTATTGCAGTCTGGGCTAATTCACTTTTCGAACTTTAAACTGGTGTGGCACACACAAGATCTATTGAAACCAGAACCAGTTCTATTTTATGCTTCAAACGTGTACACAATATGAGCTTTCAAGTTTCAGGCTTCAACTCAAGACAAAACCTAGCTCTGATAACTCGGGAATAGGAAGTCATCACTTGAAAATGACAAGGAAAGAACAAATGGATGAATAGTAATAGAAGGACACCATCTTAACGGGATCAAGTTTATAAATCATCATTTTTTATTTTATATTAGTTATTAAATTAAACCTAACTTTATTGAATGCGAGAGTTCTTATATTACTTCAAGTTCACTCATACTTGAACAATCTCATAAAAAAATAGGGGCCTATTTAAAATTGTTTTTGTTTTGTTATGGTGTTTTGTATAACATGTCTTGAGAAAAAAATGATAAAAATATGTATTTTTTTTTATTTTTTCTTGTTCTCTAGAACATTAATCCCAAAGTACTTAAAAGATATTTTTATTTTTCTATTCACCAAAATAATATTTTATTTTTTTATTTTTCAAAATACTTTTTAAAAACACGTTATCAAATAATTTTTTTTATTTTGGAAAATAAAAAACTATTCTTAGAATAGGTTATCAAACAGGCTTTAATTTTTTTTTCTTTTTTAGACAACATTAATAATTTAACTAAGTTTCCTTTAATTTCAGTGATATAGTTAGAAATAATTTATATATAGGATACTTTAAAAAAATATCTTGAACACATTAAACTGAACAACACAAACTCTCAAAATTTTTAAATTTTCATGTTCTTTATGCTTAAAAAAAACCTTAGTATTAAACCAATGGTGATTTATGAAGAAGGAAAGAAGAGGGGGCATACCAAGATGCCTTTGAGGTTGATGAAGAAGGTAGAGTTTGGATGCTGATTGTGATGAAGAATGGTGTGAGCAAGTTGAGGAACATAATGACCGGCATAGCTCTCACCAGCAATGTAGAAATCAGAAGATTTGTACTCAGGAAACCTCTCTAACCAGTTTCTTAAGAATATATAGTTGTCTGTAGCAGTTCTTCTATCTCCATTATTGTCATAATCTGATGTCTTGTTTGAGTATGAAAATCCCACTCCTGCTGGTGATTCCACAAATACTACATTTGCACCTTCATCACAAACCCCGTATATATCAATGGTTATATATACTCACTTTGACATCAGCATATATAATAATTTAGGATAATATTGATGATGATTTGATGAGATACCATGGTTCCATGAGTATTTGTTTTTGTGGAGTGTTTTGCCATCACTGTTTACTCTGAATGGTCCAAGCTCTTGCATAGCTCCATACCCTAGTGATGAACATCCTGGACCTGTAAAAATACACCAATGGATAAGATGAGAGTTTTTGAGTAAAATCAACATTATTGATAATAACAAAATGATATTATACTCCATCTGGTACTACATACATACATACATACATACATATTTATATTTATATATATGCATATATATAAATCAATTCCATTATATATATAACTATCTTATTGGGTAATTAAATTATTAATATTGTATGGAAAAGAAAGAATCAATTTATTCTTATTAAATGCACAATCTTTAAAAACATAATCTCTTATATGTAACATTTTACTCTACTTAAAAAAAATTGTGAAAGGATAAAATTGAAAAAAAATTAATGATTCACCTTTTTATGCAACGTAACATATAAAAAGAACCATTAATTTCTTTTATGGAGTGATTTATATATAAGACAAGAGCAATTCAAGTCACTTCTAATTAATTTACAAATCAAGAATAGATAATTAAATCATTAATATTGCTTTAAAAAATATATTTCTTGATGTAACTTTACTAATTAAATATATATCATCTTTAAAAACACACTCTCTCTTCATGTACAACTTCTTATACAACTTCTTACCTCACTTTACTGGTAGAAAATACAAAAAAGTATAATGGAAAGAAAGTAATTAATAGTTTTTTTTTTTGGCAAAATAACTTATAAAAGTTACCATCAAATTTTTTTTTGGTATAAGATGATATATATATATATATATATAGAGCACATGAGGGTCAAATTGAATAGGGCCACGGACAAAGGAGTGTTTGAGTGATGAGACGTGAGTGGCTTCTCTACTATCTCCCAATCAATTAATGATTGACCCTTCTGATGGCATTTTCCACAATCAACGCATGACCAAATCAAAACCATTCAAAACTACAAAATATATCAAACACAAAAGATGATTAAAGAAAGAAATTAAACCAATAAAAACAGAAACATAATGTCACTACTCCATGAATTCACTCAATTAATATCTATCACAATGAAGAGTCTATCGTTCTCAAGTTATAAGCAGTGCATGGTTCATAAGAAAATCCAATATTATTTGCTAGTTAAATAGTAATATATTATGGTAGACGCACCTCCATTGAGCCATAGAAGAAGAGGCAATTTATGCTTATGACGAGATTGTTGAGCGTCAACAAAATAATAATAGAAAGCTCGTCCTGCAATTTTATCCACAGTAACATACCCTCCATATTGAGAGAAACTCACATCTTCAGGCTGTCCAGGAAGTCTTTTAATTCTATCTTTCTCTTTCAATCCTTGTTGAGGATAATAGTAACGAGACTTATCATCATCGACATACACAGCTTCATCTACCTTGAAGATTGTTTTACTGCTTCTGTCAATGGCTCCTCCACTGAAGAACTTAGACTTGTTCCGATTCTTGAGGGCTTGTTCTTGCTTCCTGCTTCCATGGATTTCTTCCACCAACAGCAGTGTTGATAGAAGGAAAAGAACCCACCAAGTTTCTTTGCCCATTGCCATCATTGCGTGCTTGTTTCTTGGGAAAATATCAGTATTTCAAAAGCTATGAGAAAAAGGTGATGAGGAAGGGAAAGAGAGGAAGGGAGTGATGGATGATGGGATGGGCCGGGTGGGATACCCAGGTAGCCGCATGTGAATATTTATAATGAGAATATAAGAGGAGGGTATATCAAGTTGGGATGAGCTGGCAGACTTTCATTGTTTAAGTAAGCAATGAAGGACTTGAATTATAGCTAAATGTATTATTGTACCTAGTAGCTTGAACTTGCCCGACCCTAACAAAAAAGATTTAATAAGGCATAGACTAATTCAAATAGAACGCTAGCTTTCTAACAACAACTAACTATTTAACACGATTGTACTCTTATAAGTCAAATTCAAAACCTCTAATTAAAATAATGCAACTCACGGTTGTTAATTGAATCAAGTGCTTAGTGGTTAAATGTGTGATAATTTAATTATGAGGGATCTACATTTTGCCTTAATATGGGAGATATTTTTATGGGATCATGGCATCTACAACTTGCGCCCGAAGGGTATATTTGTTGCATAGAAGAGTCAAGAGTGGCGGGAAGCAAATGATTAATTTTACATTTGGATTTAAAGTATCTCTCCATTTGTCTCCATCTTAATTTCTAACTGTTGAATCAATTTTCATAACCCTGATCAATCCCCAGATATATTGCTCAACAATTTGCCTGAGGGCTTGAAAGTTTTGTTTTTGTTTTAAGAAAAAATTAATCATTTAATTCTTATAATTTTAATTTAATTATAACTCAATTTTTAAATTTTAACTCGTTATAACTCAATCCTTGAATTTTACTTCTTATAATTTAATTCATAAAATTTTAACCTCTTAAATATTAATCTTTATATTTTAAAAAATAAAATTATAAAGATTAAAAATATTTTAAAATTTATTAATAATATTTTAAATTATTAAATCCATTTAATTTTTATAAATATTAAAGTATAAAATATTTTTAATTTTTATAATTTTATTTTTTAAAATATAAGGATTAATATTTAAAAAGTTAAAATTTTAGAGACTAAATTATAAAAGATAAAATTTAAAAAATAATTTATAATCAAGTCAAAATTTAAAAATTAAATTATAATAAATAAAAATTAAAAAATTAAATTATAAATGAATTAAAATTATAAAAATTAAATGATTAATTTTTTATTATTTCAATGATTGGAGAAAAATCTCGGAAAAAGGAAAGAAGGAAACAGCTGGCACAAAAACCAATGGCTACAGAAGATAACACAAGTGGCTATCTAAACTAGTAATGCTCGTGAGTCACAATAATAATGATAATATAATAGTTCCCAGAAGACCCATAATGCCCCATACATTGAATTTATATTAGTAAAAATTAATTTTTATCAATTACTGACTAATTTTTGTCAGCTTTTGATTAATCTAATGAAGTTTCAATCTTTCAACTGTCGCAAACTAAATTTGATTTGTCAATTTACCGTCCAAGTCACCGATTCGAATTGATTTTTATAACATCAATCACAACTAGCTAGTCAAAAAAAAAAAAATCACAACTACTGTACATATAAAATTAATACTGGATATTATGATTTTAAATAATTTTATGGTTATTATTATTATTGATATTATCTCCCTCCCAAATTATATGACCATTTTGAAGATATTTTATTATTTTAAAATATAAAATAATTTGACTAAAATAAAATTTTATTAATAATATTTTCCTAATTTTACTCTTAAGAGAATTGAAATGATGGTAATGTAATAGTTAAATGTGTAGATTTAAAATTATATTAAATGAAAATAATTTTTTTGAAGTTTATTTTTTTGTTGAAAAAATAAGTTTATAAAGTGTCAGTATTGAGTTTTATTAGTTTGCACAATTTTCTGTAAAATTGTATTTTGAAATAATGGAAGTACTATTCCAATTCTTAGTATTCTCTCTGTTTAAAAATATAAAACATTTTTTTAAAAGTTAGATATTAAAAAATGTAATACTTTTAAAGTGTAATCATTATTTTTTTTAAAAGTGTCCCTATTGATAGTGATTTTATATTTATTATTGAGTGTTTAATAGGAGTAAATATGAAAAAATATAATTAGTTTGAAAATAGTTAATAATTTTATTGGAGGTGAGATTCGGTTAAAAATTCCTTAAATTTTTAAATGAAGGGAGTATAAGAGAAAGTTTGGAAGACTTTTTTTTTTGTCTTAAATATAAGACAAAGTTATAGTATTTACTGCCTTTCTCCTATTTTATTCCTTATATATTTATTGTCATTTGAATTCTTGAGCAGCAATTTATTATAATCAATAATTATTCTAATTATTTTTATACCAATGACAACACCAACAAAATTAATACTTCCTCTTAACTACAATATAAAGTATTAGTGTCTAATTTATGGTTTTAAAAAAATGTTAGTCAAAATCTTAATTTTTTTAAAAAAATTTACTTCTTTTTAATTATACTATAAATATCAATAAATATTTTATATAAGTACTATAATAATGACAACTGAACTTTTAATATATTATTTTTTTTCAAAAAGAGTAACATGATAAATGAAGTAGGGGTTTAATTAAAAATTAAAAGTTATTTAATATTTTATATTTTAAATTAAAAAAATTTCTGTAAGATATTTTATATTGTGATAGGAGAGAACATTGAATATGACGACTTTAAATAAATTTGTGGACAATATTATTAAATGATAAGGATGTGCCCAACTGCCCATGTGAATGCTGCTTGTTTGATGTGGAATAAATGCCACTTTTTGAGCCACTTGAAGAGCTGATTCCAACAATAAAAACTACATATTAGGAAGAAGATATTGAAATATTACCTTTGTCTTAAATTATAAAATATTTTTTAAAAAAATTTGATATTTTAAAATATAAAATACTTTAAGAAGATTAATATTTTATTAAATAAGCTTATTTTTAATATTATCTCTCTATTTAATTTTTATTCCTATCTATTTTCACTATATTAAATGAAATGTATTTTTGAATGTTTATATTTTTATTTTGAAAAAATAAAATTATTAAATGTGTTTAATTATGTTTATTAATAGGTGATATTTTGTTCAAGATGAAGGGAGTGGTATAAATTGATTTCTTTTGAGATATATCACATGTGATCAAATAAAGAAGGGTTAGATGTCAAATTTATTTTTAAATTATAAGTTTAAAAATATTTGAAAATTGAAATTTTAAGCTCGTGTTTAATGTAATGTTTTCTTTCAATGTTTCAAAATAATATAATATAACTCCTACTGTTAAATAATAATAAATTTAACTGTTAGTTGAACAAAAAAATTACAAACAAGGACCATGTAATTCTTGATCCCATTTGTAAATTGTTATGTCTTAATTTATAATTTTTCGATCATTTTCTGCAACTTTTATCTACTTTCTTAGTTCTTTTTTTTTAATTTTTAAGATATTTTTTTATAATTTCATAATCAATTAAAAGCAAAATTAAATTTTATTAACGGTAAAAATGATATTACACTGTTTTTAAAATTTAAAAAAATATAGTATAAAAATTAAGTTTAAAATTTTAAATGCTTCTAAACATATAATTGAAAAGTAAAATTATTCTTTAATTCAATAAATAATAATGAAATAATGTAAATTTAATTTCATAAACTCAATTTTTTTATATGTTAATATTTTAATTATTTTTTGGACCAGTGATATCATTACGTTCTTAGATTTCAAAAGCTGCAAGATCACTCAGTCCCATTTCCTGCGGCCCTACCACTCCCTTGAAATCATGAAGCACGTGAAAGATAATGGGAAAAATAGGTCACGGGGACCAAAAAGTTCAAATATTTGGATATAAGTCTCAAAAATAATAATATAACTTGCAAGGGATCATAATATTTCATCTATTTGGCCATTCCTATTTACAAATTATTTTCAACATTTTTATCTTAACCAAAAAAAATTTAAATTGTATTAACTCTATTTAAAAATTTAATAAATTTTTAATTTTATACCCATTAAATATATATATATATTTTAAAAATAAAATATTAAAAGAATGAAGATAGACACACTAATCATTAAGATGTCAAATAATATTCTCTCTCTATTTTATAAATAAAACCATAGCCATATGTGTTTTAGAAAAAAAAACATTAAAATACTCTCTCTCTCTCTCTCTCTCTCTCTCTCTATTTTTCAGGGTGCGAATTATTGAAGATCAAGGATGATTATTGAGTTTCTGGAGAATAATGCAAAAAGGCCAGGCATGTTGTGATATTTTTGCTGCGATCGATATAGTCCTTTAAGTGTCATGATTTCCTGCGAGCTTTATCTTAACATTGATTCGTGCCCAGATATTTTGGGCTTCCTGGTCCTTCTCCGATTTGTTCCCATATGATAATAATTTATGTTAGCTGTTATTCTTTATCAAGTGAGTGTGCCATATACATAGTAATAATACATATCTTTTAAGTAATATTTTAGGATTTAATTTTTAAAAGTGTATATAAAAAAATATTATTTGAGAGAGAACAATTCTTTAAATGGTACTTCCTCTAAATCACAATATAAAACATTTTTTAAAAATTTTATCTGATTTAAAATATAGGGCATTAGATAACTTTTATACTTATTTTTTCAACTATATTCCTGCATCATTTATTACTTTTTTTTGAAAAAAATCATACATTAAAATTTTAGTTACTATTATCAAGACTCTTATATAAAGTATTTAATGAAGATATAAATGAAAAGATGTAAACATTTTTAAGAATTTAAGATTTCAATTAATATTGTTCGTAAATTGTGAATTAATTAACCATGACTTATATTGTAATTCAGATGAAGTATTTATATTTAGAATTGGAAAAATGAGCTGACCTTGCCTTTAACAAACTCAAGTCTAAAAAGAGCTAACCTATTTAAGCTCACTTATCCTTTAAGACCCTCATATGTTAAGCATGTTCCTCAACATAGCAGGCTTATGATTGGCTCGTGGGCTTGGAGGCCTTTTGCATTTTTTATCAAACTAAAAATACTTCAATGAAATTAAACACGCTTAAATGAAGAAAGGTTTAATTTAAAATTTTTATATAAAAAATTAAAA